GAAATTCATTTCTATTCCTAAGGAATAGCTAGTCCCACAAATTATGGGATTAACCATTAACAAATCTAATGTGATATTTGTGATACCCATTCCACACGTAATCAACGCCCGTCAAAAAAAGGCCTGATCATTTCTCTTCAAAATTCATTTCCAAGCTTGTCTCTCCAGATTCTCCTCTTCTCTCATCAACGCCCATGGCGTTCCATCGCTGCTTTCTTCTCTTCACTTTCTCCATCTCTCTCAGCTCCACACGAAGCAAGGATTTGTATTGATGATCATGATAGCTCAGGTAATTTCTGCCAAATTTTGTCAATAATAATTTTTAAATCCATCCTCGAATTTTAGAATTTGAAAAAAATCGGTCAATAATTCTCAGATCTTAGTCTTAGATCTAAAAATTCCACCAACAATTCAGATCTGAAATAATTTTGAAGTGTAATTTAAGCTATATAATACATGAACTTGACGAAACTTCCTCCAATTTTATTAGCTTGATACTTTAGCCGACACTCTACAACATGAAACCTGCTTGTCATTAAATTTTGTGCACATATTGAGCGTCTCTTTTAGGTAATTAAATTCCAACATTGTACAATTGTGTTTGATTGTGAGAGAGCTTTGTTGATTGCACAATCTATGTCTACTGTAATTCAATTCTGGTTGGTATTGTAATTTAATTCTGGTTTCTACTGTAATTCAATTCTGACATGTTCTTTCTATGATAACAAATCCATTATTCCTCCAGTAGATGCTGTAGTTTGAGCCAAATATTTTGAATCAAGTTGAAATTGATATGGATTTTACTACTCATATGAATTCCATCCTAATTTGTGTTTCAGTCAAAATTAGATATCCAAATATGCTGATTTTCTTCTAAAAGACCTAAAAAGAAAAAAGGAATTGCCCCCATCCAACTTGTGTAGTTCCATGTTAGAAAGAAGTACTGCTGGATTGAAACTTAGTTATGGTTGCTTTATACCTTTTTATGCAATGATAGTTGGATTCAATGGATGGGTGTGACAATAATTTTGGTGGGTCCAACAGATAAATTACTCAATTGTGATACCCTTCATTCTTATATTCTTTCAATTTTCTCGATTTTAGATCAGGATGCATGGGAAGTAGTTATTTGTGTAGTTAAAACCAGAATATTTTATTAGTGAATGATGACTAAATGTGTTAAATTTTTTTTAGCTCAATGTGCTAACTCTATTTTTGAATTAATGAATCACAGTTGAATTTGTTTTCTTTGTTATTTGTGACAATTATGGTTCGTTTAAGTCTAGCAAGAAGAAATTGATTGCACTATTCGTGTGGTGGACTAATATCATGCATTTAGTCAATTTTTTTTCTATTGTTATTGAAGTACCATTGTTTATAAGTTGATATGAAGGTATTCAATGACATGACGTTTCTTTTGTTATTCATTTTTTCTATTGTTATTGAAGCATCGTATGTTTAAGTGGAGCGTTTCTTTTAGAATTTGGATAATTCGAGAAGGCATATCATCGGGTTTGAATTGGATTTATGATTGGGTTTGAGGTGGTTTTTGTGGATGCAATAACATTGGTTTGGGAAAAATTAAGTTGAATCAAGACTTATTATGGATTGCTGGGTAGTTAGATAATGAGGAGATTTCTTGATCATGACATCCCTGATTAGTGTCATTATAGCACTTGGTTTTTGTTCATTTAACTCACCGCTAAATCGTAGCTATTTTATGGATTTCATTTATTGTTGGTTAATACTCATGTTGAATGTGGAGTTTGGTTATATTTTGTGAAAATTAGGGTTCAGTCCTCCTAGATGGACTTATAACAACTTGAGTCCGTCAAAGAAACTTATTTAAGAGTAAGTTTGTTTTTAATTTTATTAGTGAGTTAAGTTCACTTTTTTTTTTAATCTCAAAAATACTCTTAACAGTGTTAGTTTGGTCAGTTATAGAAAGTTGTAGATATTGTCTATAAGGAGCTATATATAGAGGTCAATGATTGAATATAAAAATGTTTGATTTACGATTGTAATTGTCAATTACTAGTTTTTCATAATACTTCAAATTCTTAGTCATTATTTTATCTGTTATGCATTTAAATAATCGGCTTTCAAGATTTGAGGCTAATTTGAAAAGGATGAATGTTGAAACTGAAGTACGAGCTTCAGATTTTGAAAAAGTAATATGGACAGTGCACACCAAGTACTTAATGTTAGTAATAGTCACATCAGTTCAATAATATCAATTTCAAAATGTAATTTACTAACACCTATGAAGCACAGATACTTCGTTGAAGTTGATGTACCTGTATCAGATACGATACTCGTTGGACACTCGAGAATACGTATCGGATACACCTTCTACGTATCCGATAATAATTAAATATTAGGATACTTCACGGATACTTTTGTAGTCGAGCAACATATATAATTTTTTAGTTGAACCTTTAACATTTCTTTTCAAATTCACATATTATACAATACATTAATAAAAAATTTATATTACTTCAATAGTACACGAGTGTTTTTAAAGTATTATCTACAATTACATGTCAAAAGAGCATAAAATAAAGTTATTACATTATAATCTTAGCAAAAATTACTTCTAAATATTAGGTAAATATTAGTTTTGATTCTTTTAATTACTCACTTCACTTTGTGAATATACCACAGCGACACGATATATATTTTCTTGAAACTAAAAAGAATTACTAATTTTTTTTATTATATGTTAAAAATCCACAAAAATATATAAGTATTAAGTTGGTTGAAAATAATAAAAATAATAAAAATATTTTATTATAATCGTATCTTGACCGTACACATATCTTACTTTTTTAGATTTTATCGTATCACCGTATTCGTATCGTATCGTACTCATATTCTGTATCTATATCCGTGCTTGAAAGACCGACACATATCACTATTTTTTTTTCATGTTACTATTTTTTATTGAGCATGTTATTATTTTTTCAATGTTACTTTTTTAAATGCCGAAAAATTGGATGCTTCTTCCTCTGGTTATGAGTTTGAATGCTATTATTTTTATTTTCAATTTTTTTCAATGTTTTATATTGCTATTTTTTTTTGGTTGAGCACGTTACTGTTTTTATTATGCATGTTACTATTTTTATTAGTCATATTACGATTTTTATTGAACATGTTACTAATTTTGTTGAATATATTATTTTTTTTTTTGAACACGTTACTACTGTAATTTTTTTAAACATGTTGCTATAGTTATTTTTTAAAATATTAATATTGAATGCAACTATTTTTTTATGTTTAAATGTTACTATTTTTTTGTGTATGGTATTATTTTTTATATTTAAATAATATTTTTTTTTTTTTTGTATTTAAATGTTACTATTTTTTATTTTTAAATATATATATGTGTGTGAAAGATATAATCTTAACCTATATATGGATATAGATAGATATGAGAATTTTTTTTTTAATGTTAGTCAAACTCTAAGAACTTTTAATTTTTAGTTTTACTTTACTTTTAAAAGGAAGCAATAGTCTGATAAAATTGACAAAAAACAGATTTTATAACAAATAAGTTTCTTTTGCGAACTTAAGTTCAAACAAGTCCATATAGGGGGACCAACCTCAAAATTTCTCTTATATTTTTGTGGATTGATTGTTGTTTGTTTCACAACTACATCAGGGATTAGAAGTCAATAGACTCAATCAAGGTAGATGTAGCAGGTATCGTTATGAAAAATGATGCACATGATGATCGCATTACCACGGTTGAAACATCTAATGAGTGGTCAAAATTTAGATTGAATTTGGCAAACAAAAATGTTTGATGAGTGGAGAGCATGTAGACAAACAATATAATTTTTTGTGTCTGTATTTGAAAATGATTTTGTTTCTTAGAATTCTACCTCCAATGCTTTTGAGATGAAATAAATAGAACTTAAGAATTTCTGTTTTTATTCAACTTGTTTTTTGTATATTGTTAATTATATTTTAGACTTGATTTTCATCGATTTTTTTTTTAGTTCAACATACAAGTTTGAATAAGATTCCTAATTGTGTTGATAATTAATTTTTTTTTTGGGTTTGCACGTGTTCAATTGAATTCACAAAAAACTATAGTTTGTTCATTTGGCATGAGTGACCAATTTTAGATAATTTTCGGTTTTGGTTTCTTTTTGTGAACCTATTTTTGGAGGAATTTTTTTCTAATTTTTTAAAACTTACATGGGTTCAACTTCTTTCAATGGATTCTCATTTTTTTCTAATTATGAATTTTCTTACACAGAACCTTTAGGCGCAATCATAAAAAAATGTTATTTATTATTTTTATGAATATTTTGATCAAAGTTAATTTCATTCCAATGAAAAAATTGTTTTATCCAAAAATATGAATGGAATAGTCATTCTATTCCAACACTTAATCATAAACAGTTGTCAAACATTGAAATGATAATGCGCATTTCATTTCATTTTCAAATTTATTCCATTCCTGAACTTATTCTATTCTCAAATTTATTCCATTCCCGAATTTATTTTATTTGTACTGAAAAGTATTACTCGTATCAGCATAAAGATATTATTGCTTAGGATGAACTCCACTATGTTATTCCTTTTTGATCATGTGCAGTTATTTTATTACTTCACAAGCCAATAATGAATGCATTTGTAGGAGCCACAACGGCTAAAACATTATAATAAATATAGGCCTCAATCAAGTATATTACACAAATGACTAGTGGAGAAAAAGTGTAAATTTTAATAAATTTATTCGACGGTTTCAAATAGATTTATCTAACGATCACCAATATTCCTCTCAAAATTATTCACATTGTACAGTACGTTCAGACACAAGTTTATATTCTATATATATATATATCCACCGGCTTGAGTGCGTACACTGTGAACGATGTATCCCACTCATTTGGAACCACAAATAAGTTGGTCTGCTCAGTCTCAGTGTGTACACTTTTGATTTAAGTGTTTCTCGTGAAGCCTTCTCACTCCCTCCCTATCTCCCCATCATGGCTCTCACTGCTGACGTTGCAAAACACAGATACAATAAGGATCTGTTCAATGCTTTGACGAGAGGGGAGGAAGATAAAGTGATCCAACTTTGCCGAGAAAATCCAGAGGGTCCATTGCACGTCCTATCCTTACACAAAGACACCGTCCTTCATGTGGCCACCTACTCCAAACGAAAAGATTTAGTACTCAATTTACTCCAAGAGTTACCCGAAGGACAATTTGCTAAACTGACGCATCAGAATGACGCTGGAAACACCGTACTCCACGAGGCGGTCACTTCTGACAGAACAGTCAAAGTTGCGACGGAATTGTTGCTCAAAGCACCAGAACTGCTAAGTATGCGCAACCAGAATGGAGAGACGGCTCTATTTTGTGCTGCCCGTTATGGCAAAAGCAAGATGTATGAGTATCTTGATGATGAAATGAACAAAAGCATCAAAGATCCAGCAGAATTGAAGGCCTTCCATTATAGGGATGACAAAACCACTATACTTCATTTGTCCATACTCAACGAGTACTTTAGTAAGTAGCCTCAACCCCAAGTTTGTTAACAACTGCCTCAAAAATTGTTCAGGCATGTATGCATTTTCAGTGAGATTCACTAGAAATACAAGAAGCTCATGCCAAATTACATATATATATATATATAGAGAGAGAGAGAGAGAGTAGTGCGATAAGTACTAGCCTCTGGTGGATATTTTTTATACAATCCGTTAGATCATGATCTAACGTCCAAATAACATTTTCCTTTACTAAATTCAATAGACAAACTTACCGGTTATGAAGTAGAAAGGAAACTCCAATAATATATTAATTATGGGTTAAATGATATATGAAAATTATACTTATACATATAATCGAATCAAATCTTTTAAAAAGAAAAAAAGAAGTAAAGTATAGTTAGCTATGTCCAGTGATGAAATGGTGAAGAAGAAAAAATAAGAAAATTTTTATAACATTTGTTTCGGCTACCCACACATCGTATATATCAACAGATTCGCAACATCTTACTTTTTTATAGTTTGATCACTGTAAAGGGTATTCAAAAATTCAAACTATGGTCATGCACATCATCAACATGATTGGATATGGAAATTAAAATTTACTTTAGGAAAAAAAATGTTATTTAGATGTATTTGACTATAATGGAAATAAAATTCTACAGATATATATAATTGACAATAATGTACTACTGGATATGAGATGTCATGTAACACGTCAAATTGTGTCACCCACCTTTGGCTAATCCAGAAGGATAAAACCGAAATGAAGGCCAATAATGTTTTTATTTAATCATCTTCTCTTAACCAACAATTTTATTTTAGATTTTTAATATTAAAATGTTTGATTCGGTTATAAGTGTAAGTATAGTTTGCATATATCATTTAACCCATAATTAATATGTTATTGAAGTTTTCTTTTTATTTCATAACCAAACTTGGTAAGTTTGTCTTTTGAAATTTTTAGTTTACCTCATTAATGGACATTGGATCGTGATCTAATCGTCTACATAAAAAGTAATCACCAGGGACTATGGTGCAAAGTTTCCATAATTGTGCTACGATATATATATATATATATATATGTTTCCTTTTTCTTTTCTCTGATTTATGCAATTAAATGAGACAGGTTTAGCCCTTTTAATAGCAAGCAAGTATGAGTACTTGCTTAATGAAAAAGACGATGATGGAATGACTGCTCTTCAACTTCTTGCATGCAATCCAGCAGCATTCGAAGACAGGAGGAGTACACCAGTATCTCTCAAGCGGTTCTTTTACTCTTGTATGACTCTTACCTTTCCGGTTTACACTTCATGTCAGAAAAAAATTAATAAGAGGTAGCTAAATGCAAAGAACTAAATTTCGTTTTCGAAACACTCGAAACGCCTAAAACATTTTCATTTTCATAAAAATCGAAACGAATTATTGATTGAATATCAGAATTCTTATGTTTTGAAATGTTTCAAGGTATTTCGATAGATTTCGAAATGTTTTAACATGTTTTGACCTATGTTTCGAAATTGACTAATGTTTCAAAAATAAATTTTCAAACTTTCTTTATTTCCTTCTTATTTCTGAAATATTATCGAAACATTTCAATTTTCAAGCTCACCAAAACTGTAAACCGAAACAAAATTTTGATTCATTCTTACATGTTTTCAACAGTTTCCTTGACTAAGTAGGCTAAGATTGGAGGTAATAATCTTAACGCATTACTCATTAATCCGTCTAACCCGCTCATAAATAAATGGGTTAGGTACCTATATTTAACTAAATTAAAATTTGGACTGAGTCCTCCTGGATAGACTTATAATGACTTGAGTCCGCCACTGAAATTTATTTGGTGATAAATCCGTTTTTTATTTTACTAATAAGTACTTAAGTCTATTTTTTTGTAAATCTCAAAAATACCCTTAATAGTGTTATTCTGTTCAATTATAAAAATCTTAAAGATCTTGAAAATAGTTTTAAATTAATTTCTTAAATTAGAAATTATTATCCCTTAATTCACTCCTAAATTGAAATTCAAATTTATACTCTCTCTCTCTCTCTCTCTCTCTCTCTCTCTCTCTCCCCTTCCTTAGAAGAAGATCATCTCATTCAATAACAAATGCAAACATTCACAATATCAATTGCAAAACCATTTATTTTGTTCTTCACAGTAACATCAAATTTTTATGTACAGTAACACAACGACTTTAACAAAACTCAAGACGATATATATGTTGCACAGTAACATTAACGAAATATTTTTTTTACACAGTAACATCAATGTAATATTTTTTCTTTCACAGTAACAATAATTTTCTCTTACTTTTCACAAAATAAGGTCCTCAAATTGAAAAATTACATTATTTAGGGCAGTAACACATGATTTTCAGTTGAATTAGAACACTAATCACCACTTGTGAATGTCAAGACATCGAATATGTAAAAATGATTTTCCTTTTCCCTCACAGTAACATTAACTTTTTCCCACAATCAAGTATTTTTGGATTGTATTGCACAACAAAAGATCCAAAAAATTGAAACTTATATCATTTAATTTAGTAATAATGAATCGCATTTTGAAATTAGGAATGCAAAAAACGAAAAAAAATTTGAAAACTTGGAGGCTTCTTCCTCTGGTTATGGGTTTGAATGTTACTATTATATTTTCAATTTTGTTCAATGTTTCATATTGCTATTTTTTTTTTGTTAAGCATATTATTGTTTTTGTTAAGTATGTTACTGTTTTTGTTAAACATATTACTATTTTTGTTAAACATATTACTATTGTTATTTTTTAAAATATTAATATTGAATGTTACTATTTTTTTATGTTTAAAATTACTATTTTTTTGTGTTAAATGATATTATTTTTTGTGTTTAAATGATAACTTTCTTTTGTATTTGAATGTGACTATATCTCTCTCATAAATATATCCTAACCTATATATAGATATGGATAGATATGAGAGAAAAAAGTTTTTAATGTTAGTCAAACCCCTAAAATTTAAGAGTTTTTAATTTTTAGTTTTACTTCACTTCTAAAGGGAATGGATAATCTGGAAAAATTGAAAAAAATAGATTTCATAACAAATAAATTTTCTTGGCAGACTTAAGTCCAAACAAGTCCTTATAAGGGGACAGATCTTCAAATTTCCTTTTAATTAATACGAGTTCCAAATGATTTGAATAATATGATTTATTTTAATTAATCGGGTTAATATGGATTATAAATGGATACCCATTGGGTTGAGTATTTATCTCTTTATTAAATAACACAAGTAATAAAATTAAATAAATATACTAATATACCAAAAAATACACATACTATTACACCAAAAAATATACACATATATATTAATACACTAAAACATACACACACTAGTACATTAAAAACACACACTAATACACCACGCATGACATGTGGGTTGACCCACGACCCGTGCCCCTGACCCATGGCCCACAATCAACACCGTCCCATTACGTGTATATTTTGTTTTATTAAATATGTTTTAGTTTTTGTGTTAGTCTATGTGTGTGTATTTTTGTATATTAGTGTGTATTTTAGTGTATTAGTGTGTATATTTTTAGTGTATTAATTTGTGTGTTTTGGTATATTAGTGTGTGTGTATGTTTGTATTTTAGTGTATTACTAATGTGTGTGTGTGTGTGTTGGTATACTAATGTATCTATTAAAAATTTTAATTATTTTACGGGTTAATGGGTTTAACCTAACCCGTTATAAATCTAACTCATTATAACTTATTTACTACATGAGTGAAAAATAAATTGAATTTATTTTAACTTGAACTAATTTAACTCAACTCATAACTAATTTAATTTACCAATTTGTCACCTCTAGTTGCCCAACCTTGATGAGGCTTTTAGCTGGCTCGCCAGTGGGCTGCCCTTGATGGGCTAAATCAAATCCTAATTGGATTTTTATCTTATTATTTAAAATAGATATTTGTTGTTTTAAACTAATTAATTCACATTATGCAACATGAAAATTTGATTGAAATAAACAATTATATTGGCGGGTGAGCATATATAATAGGTGAAAATCGATCGATCTTTCAAATTTCACAGACCTTTGGTGGGCCAGCTGATTGCCCAGCTTTCTAGCCTGGATTGGGCTATCCCAATGGGTTATGGGTAAGGCCTACATCCTACCCAGTTAATAGACTAGCCCGCTGGGATTCAGGGATTTTCGGGTTGACAACCCCAGTAGTATCCCATGTCATCATGTTCTCCATCACAAATGAAATTATTGTTGGCATCATATGATCATAACAGCTCAGTGAATTATCCGCTTGCAAGAGTTTGTTTTTCCAGATAGGAATATTTATGTGCTAATGGTTTGGTATTTCTCGAGGGAGTAGTCGGCGTTAGGGCACCCTCAAGCCAAAAAAAAAAATGATAACATGTTTTTCCTACAGTCCTATTAGTTTAATTTATTTATCCGACAATTCTAATTAAGTTCTAACTTTTTTGGAAAACAAGTATATCTAACCTTTTTTTCTCCAAAAGCTCAAAGATGTTGTGCAGTGCCCCTTTGGGAATCAATCCAAAAGCAGCACCGCATATACGAGGAAGCTGTGAAAATTGCCAAGTTCTTGATAGAGAGAGATACCTCGTGGGAGGAAACTGAATCTGCATTAGACTCGATTAAACCTAAGATTCACAAATATTCCTCCAAGAATTCCCAAGACCGAGGGGTAGGGAAGGGAAAGAAAGCCGCAACAAGTACAGATCAAACTGTTCATCAAAAATTTGCAGAAACTCCATTGCTATTGGCAACAAAGTCAGGCATTATGGAGATTGTTGAAGAAATACTTACAATGTATCCACAGGCAGTAGATCATGTTGATCACAATGGTCAAAATATTTTACATAGAGCAATCAAGTATCGCCAAATGCAAGTCTTTGATTTGGTAGAAAAAATGGAAATTCCAATGAGGAGGTTGACACGAAAGATTGACAACAATGGGAACTCTATACTACACTGTGTTGGCAAAAGATCACAAGATCATGAGGCTGATATGCGAAGCCCTGCTCTGATATTGCAAGAAGAACTGCACTTGTTTGAGGTGGACTTCTACTACTGTTACATTTCTTGTGCATTCCAATATTGTCTTCTTTGTGTGATTCTGTGCACTTGCAGCGTGTGGAGAAAATCTGTCAAAGATATTCTGTTAAGCATTTCAACTCTAAAGGGCAGAGAGCTGTCGAGTTATTTAGGGAAGCCAATGCTAAACTATGCACAGACGCCAAAGAATGGCTAAAGCGCACTGCTGAAAATTGCTCCATTGTTGTTGTGCTCATTGCCACCGTTGCCTTTGCTGCCGCGTACACCATACCCGGAGGCCCAGATCAAACTACGGGTTATCCACTTCTTCTCAACCAACCTTTCTTTGTCATCTTCACAATAGCAGACGTGCTTTCTCTCACAATAGCATTGACCTCACTGATTGCATTCCTCTCAATCCTAACATCATCGTTTCAGCTAATGGACTTCAAGCAGTCACTTCCTCAAAAACTCATGCTAGGAGTTACCCTATTGATATGTTCAGTGTCATTTATGATGTTGGCATTTGCAGCTACAGTTCTCCTAATGATTCACAATAACGAACACTGGACCATGGTCGCCTCATACTTGGTGGCACTTCTCCCAGTTTGTATTTTTGCACTATCCTACTTACCCTTGTATGTATCACTCATAAAAACTTCGATTTTCTCGCTCAAGAAAATTGGGGAGGCCTTACCTTGATGTAACTGTGTTTTTCCTCGATCTTCAACCACCACTAAAGTCAAGTTTCAAAAATCCCAAGCCTCTATTCCTTCTAATCCCTCCCAATCTCAAGGCAGTAGTTCCACAAGCCATTATCTTGAGATTGAGTAGAATTTTTACACTACTAGTTCATGGTCCTTCTTTAGTTTTTCTTGAATAAAGTTTTTTCTAGATTTGTAATTGTTGTCGCAATGTGTAAATGATTAGATATAGTTTGGTACTGTGATATGTGTAATGTATTCTTCCACTACCAAAAGGATCATGTGCATTGAGTAACAACTAAAAAGCATCATGTGCATTTGAGTAACAACTAAGTCACATAATTCGTTTAAGCACTCAATGCTCCTGGGAGATACCATAAATTGTTATTAAACACTCGACTCTCCCGGGAAAAGTCATATTGTTTTTCAAATTGATTAATCATGTAATGTCTAATTAAGAGATTGTGGGTCTTAACCAAGTTGGAGATATGATTTTTAGATTTACTAGAACCTGGGCTCAAATTTGAGCTCTAGTACAAAAATGAGCCAAGTCTAGTCTGAACATATGATTTTGACACCAAACGACGTCTGGATAAAAACCCAAGCTCAAAAGTTACGTTCGAAGCTGTGATAGCTAGCCAACTCGGGTAGAGCCTGAGCACATCAAAGCTTAAAAGCTATAGATTAGTATGATATCTTTCACTTTAATAGGTTTTGGCAATAATTAATTATGCAGTTCAAAGATAAGGATTATAATTAGACATATGTGCAAGTTGTAGCGAATGTGCAAACTTGGGCTTGAAGCAAGCATTAGGAAGCAAAAACTACAACACATGTTCGAATATCTCTTTCATTGTCATCCAATGACCTCATCCCAATTGAAACCCACTGTTAATCTGATGATAATTATATGTTAGGCTCCCGAATTAAGTCCAACAACATTAGTTATTCACTAATTTCATAAAAACACGTGCCTCGCGAGAGGATAATTGGAGGTTGCTTCCGTGGAGAGTTTCACATTAAACTTTGGTTCCCCTTATAAGGGCACTTTGGAAATCTATTTTGATTTATTCATAAATACCATCTAAGGCCACAATGTGTTTCACAAGTGATTGTTTATGTTAAAAGTTTAATGCTAAACTTTTTTGAGTTCCCTTAAAACATTGCTTAGTCATGAAGAAGCAATTTTCACAAGAAAAGAACAAATCAGATGCTGCTTAGAGGATAAGCATTACCATTTAGAATGTGCCTTCCAAGTTGGTTCTATTTAATATCAGGACGAATTTCGGATAAATTTTGTGGATTATTTGGCATCAGGATGAAAATTTTGGTTTTTGTTTGAAGAGTTTTTTTAAACTACTGAAATTTTTAAAAATAAAATTGGTATTTAATTTGCCTGCTAATTCTGTATTGAAATTCTCTTAAAGGTAAGCTCCGTTTAGCCTTATTCTGACTTTTAAATTTTATTATGTATCTTAGTTTTTCAAGATAAAATAAAAAAAATGATGAAAATTTGTCATGTAGAACCATTTGCACTATTATAATATCATGTTCAAATACTTCACTTTGTTTCCTGGTTTAATGAATACGAAAGGAATAAAGCAAAAGTGGACTCATTTTATTAATGTTTACACAGCATAAAAATGCATGAAAATGAAAGCAAACTCCCCAACAGTGTGCCTGTTAAAGTGCTGACTAAGAGGATTAAGTACCAAGGTATACCATGAAATTTGTAAAAGAAAGAATATGTGCCTTCCAAAATAAAAATTAACGGATTTTAAATTTAGTTTTAATAGGTTCAGGTAGTAAACGAATAGACCTCTGAAGCCTGTCAAATAAATGAGTTGACACAAAGTTGATTAAATATGATATAAACTCTATTATACCTACCTAAACACAAATTATATTTGACATGAATTTGACTATAAATAATTATAAATGAATCAAACATAGTTTAAGAAAATTTTGATACAACAAGATTTGCACGGTTTAAACATGTGGTTTAGTACCGCCCATTGGCAACCCTAGCAATATCCAATCATGCTCTACTATTAGGGTTAGTTTATTTTAGGGATAAGAGTGGTATAAGGAGGTGGGGATTAGGAAGATAGTACATGGGACCAATCTTATATCTTGCTTGTTTAAGATTTTACAGTTAGTACTATTTTTTTAGATCTTAATACCGACCCAATATGAATAATAGACATAATGCCTTGTAGATAGTATTAATGAATATCACCTATCAGGTGATATTATTTTCATGGGTTAAATGAGGTACAAACATGCAAATTGACACAAATGTTCTCCTTTGATAAGAGTTTTCGTATAAAAAATTTATTTTGAATTTTTTTTCTTGTATTATGTTTAAGAGTACGGTGTTACAAGTTTTCTTTTAAAAAAAAAATTATTTTGAATTCTTTTCTTATATTACATTTAAGAGTACGGTATTACCGGTTTTTTTTTTTAATTTTTTTTTAAAAATTATTTTAAATTTTTTTCTTATATTATATTTAAGCGTACGGTGTTAATAATTTTTTTCCTTGTATAGATAGTTAAGGGTAAAATGGAATTGATAATATTAAGGGTAAAATGAGATATTTGTTATATAAGATGTGATAGAATAGATAGTTGTTTGTGGGATTCACCATAACATCTATTTAACAAACAAACATGAGAAGAGATTGAAATAATTTTTATTACTGGTACTAATATCCTTTGGTATTATAAACGTAAGAAATACATTTCTAATACCACCCATAAATAATACTCGATACAAACATGGCGTAATAGATGTGATTTGATAGTGTTATAATTGGATACATGTTTCGTCTAAAGCATGAGTTTCACTCGAACCGTGGTTGATTCACAAAACATTTTGGACGATGTGGCATGTCATTTGAGCCATCGTTATCAAATTGCTTAATACTTTGTTTTTTCTTCGATTTTATCTAATTTTTTGTGTCGGTCGCTCGATATTATTCTGCAATATTGTGATCAATGCGCCTCGGTGCCTTCTGAATCAATGGCCAACACTGCCTTCCTCAACCAGTTAAGTGTGCCTATATATACACTTGTGATAAACTGTGTTTGATGAAGCCTTCTCACTCTCTCTTTGTCTCTCCATCATGGCGCTCACAGCAAATACTATTGCAAAACATAACTTCAGTAAGAAGCTATACAATGCTCTGATGACAGGAGATAGAGAGAAGGTGATCCAACTCTGCCGAAAAACTCCTGAGGGTCCATTACACATCCTGACCATACACCAAGACACTGCCCTTCATATGGCCACCTACTCCAAACAAAAAGACTTGGTACTCAGTTTACTCCAAGAGTTAACCGAAGGTCAATTTGCCAAACTGATGCATCCTAATGACACTGGAAACACCATACTACACGAGGCGGCCACTTCTGACAGAATAGTACCTGCCGCGAGGGAAATGCTGATCAAAGCACCAAAACTGCTGAGTATGCGCAACCGGCGTGGAGAGACAGCTCTTTTTCGCGCTGCACGTTATGGCAAAACTATGATGTTTGAGTTTCTAGATGATGAAACCAACAAAAGCATTAAAAATGCAGAAGAACTTAAGGCCTTTCATTATAGGGATGACAAAACCACTATACTTCATATGTCCATCCTCACCGAGCACTTTGGTAAGTAGCTTGAGTTGAATACTGTCTTATGAATTGTTCAGTCATCTATTCATTTTCATTGAAATTCACAAGAAATTAATACTAGAAGCCCAGGCCATATGTATAGTGAGATTGATCAGCACACATTGAATGTCAAGTTATGGTGCAATTTGAGAGCTGCTATGGCTGCTCCATTAAATTTTTTTTTTTCTGACATGTGCTGTGAAATGTGAGACAGATTTGGCCCTTGTAATTGCAAGCAAGTATGAGTACTTGCTTGATGAAAAAGATGGAGATGGAATGACTGCTCTCCAACTTCTTGCTTGCAATCCATCTGCATTCAAAAAGGGGAGAACACAAGGATTTTTCAAGCGGTTCATTTACCCTTGTATGAAATTTACGTCAATTAGCAATTACGCTTCATTTATACTGCTCTAAATCAATTCTTTATGTGGCGTAAAAAAATATATTGTCATCCAAAAAAAATTTTTTCATCCAAAAAAACATGTCCGATTACTATTTTGTATAAACCGATCTACATGCATATTACTATATAAAATACTTAAACACAAAAAGTACTTAATAGCGTTATCTATTCCATTGATAGTGTTACACAAAAGTACAAATACTTAAACACAATACAGATAGGCACTTCTGAAAAATAATAAGAGTAATTGATATTGCATTTTCTTGTTAAAAAACAAGTTACGATCTAAAAAATCTCAAAAGCTGGTGATGTTTTCAAGTATCTCAACGGTTGGTACTGCATTGACAGACGAAGCTAAAGGGCTATCTAAGAAGTCTACACTCTATCATCCAATGTTTGCTTGGTTTTTTTTTGGACTTTAACCAGAAATGACATATTATCTCCAAGCACACCAGCATCAGGACAATTTTAGTTTCTTCAGGCCAAATAAGGAAGTGCACCACCTCTTGAAAACTTTGCCCTTTTTTATATGAGCTAAGCAATAATACACCAAATAAGAGTCACCCACAGGTTGAACCAATCCCGATGAGGCTTGAGGAGGCCACCCATGGATTAGCCAGGTGGTGGAATGGCCCACGGGGCAATCCAGCTTTCAAGTTAGTAGAATCACCAACATCCATGTCATCCTGTTTTCCATCACAAATTATTGTCATCATCATATCATAATAAGTACAGTTGGTAATTTGCTTCCATAGAGAAATATTTGGTTTCTCAACTAGCTATAAAATATTTTCCTCCACGTGTACTAGTTACATAACATTCTTTGGACATAATAAATCTAATTTTTATTTCTTCAAAAGCTCAAACATGTTGTACAGTGCCCTTATGGGAATCAATTCGAATGAAGAAACGTAGATACGAGTCAGCTGTGAAACTTGCCAAGTTCTTGATAGAGAGAGATACCTCATGGGAGGCAACTGAATCTGCATTAGATCGGAGTAAACCTAAGACCCATAAATATTCCTCCGTGGCTTCCCAAGGCCAGGGGGCAGTGGAGAAAGCCCCAACAAGTCCTCAAAACGCCCCTACTGAAACTGCTGAAACTCCATTGTTTTTGGCTGCTAAGGCAGGCATTACAGAAATTGTTGAAGAAATCCTTACCCTGTATCCTCAGGCTGTAGAGCATGTTGATGATGAAGGGCGCAACATTTTACATGTGGCGATCAAGTACCGCCAAATTGAGATATTTGATTTTGTGGTAAAAATGGAAATCCCAATGATGAGGTTAATAAGAAAGATTGATAACAATGGAAACTCTATACTACACTACATCGGCATCAGAGGAGGAGATCGTGGGGCTGAAGACATGCGAAGTCCTGCTCTGATATTGCAAGAAGTTCTGCTCTTATTTGAGGTGCGCGTTTAATGTTCAATACCTTTAGCACATGCACAACACACTTTCTTCATTAGGCTTGTCTTCCTAATGAAACTCTGTCATTGTTTGAGTGGTTGATTGTTTGTCGACTTCCAGCGGGTGGAGAAAATCTCCACAAGCCATTTCGTCAAGCACTTCAACTCTAAAGGGCAGACTGCTGCAAAGCTTTTTAGGGAAGATAATGCTCAACTTCGCTCAGACGCCAAAGAGTGGCTAAAGGGAACTGCTGAACATTCATCCATTGTTGCTGTGCTCATTGCCACCGTTGCCTTTGCAGCCGCCTACACAGTACCTGGAGGCCCAAATCAACACACTGGTTATCCACTTCTTCTCAAGCAACCTTTCTTTGTCATGTTCACCCTGACGGATGTACTTTCTCTCACATTTGCTTTGACGTCGGTGATTGTATTTCTCTCAATCCTCACATCATCCTTTCGGCTAAACGACTTCAAGCAGTCACTTCCTCAAAAACTCATGCTAGGATTCACTTTGTTGATATTTTCAGTGTCATTTATGATGCTGGCATTTTCAGCTACAGTTCTCCTAATGATTCGTAACAACGAACATTGGACTAAGATTGCTTTATACGCGGTGGCACTCCTCCCGGTTGGTATTTTTGCACTCTCATACATACCTTTGTATGCATCAGTCATGAAAAATTTCAAGTACTCACTCAAGAAAGTAGGGCACGTTTTTCCTCGATGTAGAAGTGTTTCTGTTCCTGCCAATTCCTCTATACCTTCCAAGTCCTCTATTCCTCAAGGCAGTAATTCCACATGCCACTTCCAGCTTGAGATTGAGTAGAATTTTCAGATACATCATTAATCCTTTATAGTAATTGGTCGGGTTCATCTTTTAACATTTTATTGAGCGAGAAATATGGGATTTTTTTTATTCTGGATTAGTAACTGTTTTCACAAAGATTGTATGATTGGTTTACAACATTGAGTTTGGTTTTATATTATGTGTAATGTATGATTGGTAAAGTTTGTTATATATTGATCCAAATCCGAATATGTAATATATGTAATCAAGTGTTGATCCTCTTCCGGATTTTCTTTAGAAAGGACTAATCATCTGATAAAGGTTATGTTCCACATCAATAGCATTTCCAACATATGAAAAGTAATGCAAACCTCATGGAATACCTCAACTATTATGCTTACTTGCTTCCGCTGGAGTCTCTCTGCTTTATCTGGTGTATCAATTGATTCTTATTGCTGGTTCTTCGGACAGAATTTCTGCTCATTCGGCTACTTTTTCTGTTTTTGTTATCATTCTATACTTTTGTCAACAATTCTGTGGGGATACCTTCAATCAAGGCATCTCTTACAGACTTGTTTTTTGGGGCTTTGGCTTTTTAGTTTTGTTATTTGACTTTGAGTCCTATGTGACTTCACTGTACATTTTTTGTGTTTCCCTTGTATACTTGGTTCTCTATTAATACATTTTACTTTCCGAAAAAAAAAATATATTATCTCCGCCATTGGAGATGGTACCCACAAATTGGAGGAAACTCTTGAAACTTAGGCGCACTGCTAGGCCATTGATTCTTAACATTATTGGAGATGGTAAATCAACACACTTGTGGCATGATAACTGAAGGGGCTAGCTCCCATTATTACACATATTGTGTCATTAAATGAGCCCACGTGAGGTTAACAAGATAAGGCATGTGACGAGGATGTCGGATACTCAATCAAAAGGGTCTAGCAAATCAACGAAATTGCAGGTATCAGGAGGGATTGCTGGAGAAATATCAACAACTTGTCAAACTGAATTGCTGAAAATCACAAAAACCCTAATGGGATAACCATTTACAAAAAGTAGAAGAAACCAAGGTGAAAGGTACGATGAACTCCTTTTTTATTCTAACAATTGCTTTAAAACCATTACTGACATAAGCATTGAAGTGTCTTTGATCGAAGCACTTCAATCTTGGGCAGTTTGTTCATTTTTGTAGAAAGAAGGTCAGGAAATCAAGTTCAAAGACATTTCTTACGATAAATATCACATCAAATTCCTTGTGAGAGGTATTTATTATTTTTTGACTCTTACATTTTTGGCACCGTCTATGGGGAGTGTTTTCATCAATCGAAACAAAAAGCTACGATGTCGAAACTCAGAAGTACCATTAGATCACCTTTAGGCAGCTTTGCCATGGGTGATTCTGATCCTATGTCACTTCCTACTGATAGCAACATTAGGTTACATGTCAATGAAAGCCCGTCTAGGCCCATCTAGGGGGAAAGCCACTCCTTGGCAAAGTTGGTCTAATCCCTACAGGACCGGCTTGATACTCATGATAAGTTGTTCAAGAAGTCTTATGCCAGGGAAAGGGACCTAATAATGGAGAATGAGGAGTTAAAAGCCAAACTAAAAGAGTTGACCAAAAAGACAATCGTGAAAAGGACAGCCGACGAGAAAATCCCGAAAAGAAGCGTGACAGAACCAAGAATCCTAATGTCGATAAGCATCAACAGAAAAGACCTTGGATTCTGGAAGAAGACTCCTAAAAGCAGTATATCACCGAAGAACTCTACAACCGCCTGAAAAGGCCAGAATGGAGATCGGCTAGGGACCTAGCTAGGAGAGCAACAAGCGAATTCGTCACCCTTCACTTCATGGATCGAAAAGGGGCGAGTCCTGAGCAAGTTCACCGTCCCAAATTTCAAACTTTACAACGAAAAAACAGACCCAGCCTCACACATCAGACATTACAGACAGTTAATGACCATCCACCAAAGAAATGAACTACTACTTTGTACCATCTTCCCTAACAGCCTTGGGGAGTCAGCCATGAAATGGTTCGACAGTTTGTCGAGGCAATCAATAGATGGATGGTCTCAACTAGCTGAGCAATTCACGACTCTGTTCATTACCAACAGTAAGCAGCCAAAAGATGTCGGGGCTCTGTTGACATTGAAGAAGAAAAATAATGAAACTTTGCGAGAGTATGCTCATCGTTATTAGGAGACGATGAACGAGATTGAGGGATGCAATCCCGAAATTACAGTCGCGTCTTTCAAAATCAGATTGCCAAAGGAGAACCCTCTGTATCAATCACTCACCAGAAGGCCAGCCACGGATTTGGTGAAATTAATGGCAAGGATCGAGAAGTATACCAAAGTCAATGATGACTTATCTAGAGATATGGTGAAAGTGAACCAAGGCAGGAGACAGTTCGGTCATGAGAAGCAAATCGAGCCGATCAGAGAGGGAGGAATGAAGAATGATAAGGACGGTTATCCTCAGAAATCCCCTTTTCTATGGGTGAATACGTTGTTCAAATACCATATCTACAAGATATTGAATCAGATTAAGGCGAAGCCATTTTTTAAGTGATCCAACAAGTTGACAGGGGATCCCTCAAAAAGGAATCCAAATTTCAGATACTCATATCACTGGGATATGGGGCATATGACTGAAAATTGCTAATCTCTGAAGCAGCATTTGGAAGAACTGGTCTAGGCTGAACACCTCTCCAAGTTCGTTGAGGATGGAGCAAGAACTGACAGAGAAAGAGCCAAATCGAAAGGAGACTAGAAATGGCAGCAGGAGTGATAGACGTAATCTATGCCACCACGAACCCGTAAATAGCCACTAACAATGCAACTAGGGCCTACGTCCAGAAAGCCGCAAAGGAGAAAGAGATATTTGAACTGCGATTGACCTCAAAAGTAAGGTCTAAGAGAATAAAGGTAGAAGACTCAACAGAGATGATCTACTTTTCTAAGTAGGATCTGATCAGGATCCATCAACCACATAATGACACGTTGGTGATAACATGTAGGATTGCCAACTATGATGTCAAAAGAGTGTTGATCGACCCAAGGAGTTCTTCTGAAATCATGTATATGGATTTCTTCAAGAAGTTCGGCCTCAAGCAAGAGAATTTATAGCCCTTAAACACTTCATTGATTGGCTTTAGTGGAAGAACAATTCTTCCTAAGGGAAAGATCATTCTGCCTATAAAGACCGGACCAG